ATGCCACAGACTTTTGACAAAAATTGAATTTGTGGGCATTTTTGCTTGTGCGGACACATGCACACACAAACATTTAAACGGTACCTAGGCATAAAGAGAGCATTGAGAGCACTGAGAGTAAGTGCGAGCGAGATAAAAATAAACAGCGATGCCGTTCTGCCGCACAAATCATATGGAAGAGAGTAAGCCAAAGCAGTTTCCTGTAGTGGGAGCGAGATAAAAAACAGCGATGCCGTTCTATCGCACAAATCATATAGAAGAGAGTAAGCCAAAGGAGTTTCCTGTAGTGTGAGCGATCAAAAGATATCATATATATATCCTACTCGCTCGTTGGACCAGATGCACATTTTTTTTGGTGACCAAATTTCTACTACGGCATGTCCCATCTATATGTTTTTTGGTTAGTGTTCCTGATCAATGCTGTATTAAATTGTTGAGCACTGACTTCAAGAAGTGGTTCAGTTCCCGTTGGAGCTAGTAGTTCGATTAGCTTTTTGAATGAACAACATATGGTGTGTTCAGAGGTTGCAAATTCCGGTCGTCATTTTCGGGTTGTCTGCAAAAAATAGTTTTTTTCGACAGAGTGAATGAGGGACACAGAAAACACACGACGCTCTGTTTCTACACAGCAGACCCTAGGCACGAGCAAAAACACTTTTCGTCGTTAATTTTTCGCACATTTTTTACACGAACACTGAACAGAAAAAAAAAACAGAAGAGCGAAACCGAATCTGCTTCGTTTTTATACTCTGATCCCATTAAAAATGGGTAAAAAGGGTATAATGTATTTGTGCAAATGTATGTAACAGGCAGAAGCAAGCATCTCCGACCCCTTAAAGTATATATTCATATTCTTGATCAGCATCAATACCCAAGTCGATCTAGCCACGTCCGTATGTATGAACGCAGGAACCCATTAAAAATGGGTAAAAGGGTATAATGTATTTGTGCAAATGTATGTAACAGGCAGAAGGAAGCATCTCCGACCCCATAAAGTATATATATTCTTGATCAGCATCAATCATAATCGTGTCCGTTTCCAAGTAATCGATAAAAATCGATATCGAAATCCTGTTTTTTGAGCAATTTTGGTAAATAATAAGAGCTAGCCTCACCAAACTTGACATGTAGCTTCTAGAATAGTACATATATATCAAGTATCTTTCATTTTATAGCTTTCACATTCCCGCTGCCACCACAAAGCTATAAATCAAGTAAATAAACTAATTTATGCTGCCCACAATATAAAACTATAATGCCCACAAACTTAAATGCAATAGACTTTTTGAGAATACACAAATATTCTATGGGACAATAAGATGTACTTTCGAAAATTCCATTAAGATCGGTTAAGAAACACAAAAAACACAGCAGTTAGCGCAAATTCCAAGAATTTCTGTATACATGTACACTCACACACATTCATGCGCGTCTGCTTTGAATTCTATCAACAGCATTGCAATTGCGATTGTATTGTTTTGGGTGCTGCTATTTTAATTCGTTTTTTTCTCACCCCGACTTAATTAGTGGAGTGGCTATTGAGTAGAGGCGGCGGAAAGTAGCGTGGTCAGTTACGAGTTCGAACCCTGCTTAGGAAAATGTTTTTTTTTGGCAGGTTTGGCTGTAGAGTAGAGTCGGCAGCAAGTAATGCGGTCAGTTACGAGTTCCATCCCTGCCAAGGGAACTTTTTTTTTTTTTAATTTATCTTTATTACTACTAAATCAAACGAGCGCGTAGCTCGAGCTGTATTTGGTGTTGGAAGAAGAGGGTTCAGGGTATCCCCTAGTCGGGAGCTTTCGACTAGAACCTCTTACTTGTTTTAAATTTATTTTTATTACTGCTAAAGAAAACGCGCTCGTAGCGCGAGCTGCATTTGGTGTTGGTAGCAGAGGGTTCAGGCAAAAACAATTTAAACACTAAGATGAGTAACGCCATACAACAAAATGCTACTATGCAGCTTGATTTTTTTTAAATTGAGAACGAAAACTATATCAGTATCATTGCACTCTCACAGCCGAAAGAGCGAAAAGCTAAAAATAGAATGTACTCTCAGCTTTGGCTCTATGAGGGCCGTGCAAGCAATTATGTTTGTATGAATGTGAATATACATACATAACAGCATATTTGAATGTGTTGTAATTCACTGCTCTGTCATTAGCTGGCAAAAAAATAAATTTTGTTAGTTTTCTAGCGCTGAACATGACCTATCCCAAATTTGTGTTGACATATGTACATACAGACACACACATAAGTATTGGCACAGCAAGCATTTTCTACTTTGCAACCATTTTGCGTCCGTTTTTGGTAACAAACATCCATGCAAATTAATTTTCCTGTATAAGCCAGTTAATTTCCTACAAAAATCAGTTAAAGTTTTGTAACAAAAACATAACAGTAATTTTATTAAATTATTTGCATGGATGTTTGTTACCAAAAACGGACGCAAAATGGTTGCAAAGTAGAAAATGCTTGCTGTGCCAATACTTATGTGTGTGTCTGTATGTATGTATGAATGCATGTTGTGTACTGAGGTTGGCTCCGTATAAAATCTGTATTTGAAAGTCGATGCAAATATGTATTTATAAAATTTCTTTAAACTAGCTTATTAATTAAATTATTATTATTTTTTAGAAATAAAAAAAAATTAAGAAACAAAAAAGTGCAAATTTGTGGTTTTCAAAGTTACTTTTTATTAATTATTTTTTTTTCTGATTCAATTATATTTATATTTAATTATTCTCAATATTTATTTATACAAATACATATTTGATTTGTATATTTTAGCACTCTTTTATTTCTTAATTGGGGAATAAAAATAATATTAATTTAATTTAAAGAAATTATATAAATATTTGCATCGACTTAAAAATACAGATTTTTTAGGAGCCAACCTCAATACACAACATGCAATCATATCTGAATACAAATTTGGGATATTTAATGTTCAAAATTTATTTCTTCACCAGCCAAAGCCAGAGCAGTGAATAACAACACATATACATATGTATACATACATATTTTGATGTAGTTATGCATGCATAATTCACACATACAAACATAGGTGCTTGCACGCCATTGTCTGAGACAAGAACTTCTCTCCAGCATACACTGTCCAAAAACAAGAGTGAAGTCAATGAACGTGTGCTATTTTTCTAACATAGTTATTGCACAAGATGCGCTTGGTGAAAAAATTATTTTATTCTTAAATTTTCCTGTAAAATTTATCGTTAGTATATAGGGTAATGAATCATTTAAATAAAGCATGCATTTCATAGATAAAGCAAAAGTACTTTGCGCCGATCGTAAGTTCGAAACTTATTCGCACAATGTACTTCGAAAACGAAGCGACGCAAAGCACCATCGACCAGCTTTGCTGAAGGCAGGCTGGTGACTAACTTCGTTGCTCTTCTCAGCATCAGCAAGCCGCGACTTCGGCATTCGTTCGTCTGAACGAACAGCAGTCGGCTACCATGTCGTGTGAAGTCGTAAAAGCCAGATAGGAAGCCAGACTAGAAATGTTACGTCGCATGCATCTTAGTGTTTATATTGTCTTTGGTTCAGGGTACCTCCAGGTTGGGAACTCCTTTATTTATTTTCTGTTTTTTTTGTTTGTAGATCGAATCGCAAATATGTGTTGGTTGTTATTTGCGACCTCTGGGTGTGTTTACATTGAGTTATTTTTCTTAAAAACTGGCCGATTAATTTGTTTAGAATTAATGCCTAATGCTTTCTTAAATATGTATATATCTTCAAATTGGTATTTCGTGCATCAAGGGCCAATATCGCTAAGATAAGATAATGGGGTTGAAATGCAAGATTAATTTTCTACGGTCATTTTGTATGAGGGTAGCAACAAGCGCATTATCTGAGCTTTGGAAATAAAACTTGAAAATCAAATCAAGCCGTTTACATAAAGAAGCGTTATTTTTGCCATTCATACGTTACTGACAACTGACACTTGATGAAGGAATCGCAGACTGTGAAATTTGTAAATTCAAAATTGTTGAGCATAGTGGAAGAAGCCTATTAAATTAAAAAATTAAATTTGTCTTCTCTCTTTTAACATATTGCACACATGCCAAAATTAAAACCATCGATGGAATCTCAATAGCGCCCATATATCGCTAGTGCCGATAGTGCCACAGATAAATTCGGCAATCCTGCTGCCATTGCGTAGAAATCCCCTTGTAAGAATACCCTTGCTTTACGGCTTTGCAGATATGTAAACGTAGTGAAGCTCATAAATCCGATTTTGATAAGATGTTTTGTTAATTTTTGACCGATTGGAACATAGTGGCTATATGATATAGTAGTCCGATGTTGATGAGATTTTGTATATATGCATGGAGCATAGTGAAACTAACACTAAAAAACAAAAAAGTTGTTTTCTTAAGAACTTAATTTTCGACCGATAATTCCCATATAGCTTTATGTTATAGTGATCCGATCCGGACGATTCCGACATATGTACTGCGTGCAACAGAAATATTTCCATATTGCAAGTAGGCAAAGTATTACGATAATAGCATTACAACTGACAGGGCTATATCGACTTTACGGTCGATATAGAGCAATAATATATACATATGTGCATTACTTATTTAATAATAAAATTATACAAGCGTATCAGAACACCGACGCAGCACAAAATTTAAATAAAGTAAAACAATTATATATTAGAAATAGAATTTGTTTGTTTTTAAGAAAAGTTAGTCGTATTATCAGCTTTAATTTTCATACAATGCACGCGCTTCAAATCCGAAATGGTGACGTCACAATTTAAAGGAGACCAGAATTCTATGCAATCGCTAATACGTTATTAAACGCCTGTATTTCTCTTACCCTACAGCTAATGCCATTTGTACGTTTTTAACTCGCGTCCACTGATTTTGGATAGAATAAAAATGTATACAGAGTAGAAACACGCTATAAATGAAATGTACCTATCGATGATTCGATGTATTCTAAAATATCGCTCATGCGCAAACCTGTAATGTGCATTGTGACACACAGAAGAAATCAAGGAGCAAGCAATCACTTTCTGAAGTTGTCTGCGCTGCTCTAAAGATAATGTGACGAAATTGAAAATACAATCAAAACGCGATTTTCAAAGCGATTCAGTCCCGCTTTGACTGCAACCGCGCAAAAGCGAATTCATATCACAGACATTATTCGCATGTCTTTTTCATTCTCAATTTTTTCCATATACAGTTAACTAGTCGTCTCTTGTCGGGATGTCCCAGTCACAGCCCGAACGCGAACGGGGCTCAGGCCCGCTACCTAACCGTTGGCTCTACTGTCCACGAAAAAGTGACATAATTATTGCGGAGCGGTTTCTCGCCTTCAAGACGCCGTTAAATCAGTCTTTCCAAGACAAAATGCCCATTGAGTGCACCTTCCGCCCCGAGATGCTCTTTGATTATTGCAAGACGCTGAAGGTAAGAGTTGTCGGTTATATCACACACTTACATGTTTGTTTATATATTTACCTCTTTGCAGTTAAAACTAGGCCTCTGGATTGATTTGACGAATACAAAACGGTTTTACGATCGAAGCACAGTGGAAGAACGAGGCGCACAGTATATTAAGCTACAGTGTCGTGGTCATGGCGAAACACCATCACCGGAGCAGACACACAGCTTTATTGAATTAGTTGACAACTTTATCAACGAGCGACCATTCGATGTTATTGCTGTGCATTGTACGCACGGTTTTAATCGGACTGGATTTCTTATTATCTCTTATATGGTAGAGCGTCTGGACTGTTCTGTAGAAGCTGCACTTGCCGTATTCGCCAATGCGCGACCGCCTGGCATATACAAGCAGGATTACATTAATGAGCTCTTTCGTCGTTATGAAGATGAGGAGGACGCTCCACAAGCCCCAGAGCAGCCCAACTGGTGTCTGGAGTACGATGACAGCAGTGGCAACGACGACATCGGCACCGACAGCAGAAAACGTCACTACGATGATAATTACTCTTCCACTTCACAGCAGGCTGCAGCGGCAGCAATTGAGGGTGGGATGGTAGCAGATGACGAAGATGAAGACGCCGATTCAAATGCAAATTGTGAAGAAGACTGCGCGACAGGCGATAGCCCGCAGAAAAAAAAACGACGAAGAGAGTGGATTGTAAAAAATGCAGCCTTTATGGCTGGCGTACCTGGCGTGAGGCAAGTAACGGATCAGCCGCGTGTCACTGAGCTACAGCACAGGGTACAAAACTGGTGCAATTGGCAAAAAAGCGGCTTTCCGGGCGCTCAGCCCGTATCAATGGATAGGCACAATATTAAGAAACTCAGTGAGATGCCATATAGGGTTTCTTGGAAGGCGGACGGGACACGGTATATGATGCTTATAGATGGACGTAACGAGATATACTTTTTTGATCGCAATCACTCCTGCTTTCAAGTAGAAGCCATGGCCTTTGTAAATGGCAAAAATTTGCACGAGCATCTTGATGGCACGTTGCTAGATGGAGTAAGTTATCGCCATCATTAACAGTTTTATATGTTTATTTATTTTAACACTAGTATACCCACTGAAAATCGGTAAAAAGAGTATAATGGTTTTGTGGTCTGTATCAAGGCCCTCTCCTTAGGGCCTTCAAGTATAAGTTTGTTTTCGATCATTAATAACCTGCCCCGTTTCTATAAAATCGATATTCGATTTAACTCGATATAATCTATATTCGATTTTAGTTAGGTAAAATCGATATCGGAATTATTTTGTCTATATTTTTTTATACCCTTGCAGAGGGTATTATAATTTTGTCGTGAAATGTGTAACGCATAGAAGGAGACATCTCAGACCCCATAAAGTATATATATTCTTGATCAGTATCAACAGCCGAGTTGATATAGCCATGTCCGTCTGTCCGTCTGTCTGTTTCTATGCGAACTAGTCTCTCAGTTTTAAAGCTATCTTTATGAAACTTTGCAGAAGGCCCTCTTTCTGTTGCACGCAGTTCATATGTCAAAACCAGCTGGATCGGACCACTATATCATATAGCTGCCATAGGAACGATCGGTCGAAAAGTAGGTTCTTGTATGGAAAACATTTTTGTTTATAAAGTTATCTTTACTTAACTTAGTATTTATTAGTTTTACAACGTTCCCCATATATATGCAAAATCCTATTAAGATCGGACAACTATATCATATAGCTGCCATAGGAACGATCGGTCGAAAATTAAGTTTTTGTATGGAAAATTTTTATGTTTTTCAAGATATCTTGACCAAACTCGGTACTTATTAGTTTTACTAAGCTCCCCATATATATGCAAAATTCTATTCAGATCGGGCAACTATATCATATAGCTGCCATAGGAACGATCGGTCGAAAATTAAGTTTTTGTATGGAAAATTTTTATGTGTTTCAAGATATCTTGACCAAACTCGGTATTTATTAGTTTTACTACGCTCCCCATATATATGCAAAATCCTATTAAGATCGGACAACTATATCATATAGCTGCCATAGGAACGATCGGTCGAAAATTATGCTGTTGTATGGAATTTTTTTTGTTTTTCAAGATATCTTGACCAAACTCGGCATTTATTAGTTTTACTATGCTCCCTCCACTTATGCAAAATCTTATTCACATCGGGCTACTATATCATATAGCTGCCATAGGAACGATCGGTCGAAAATTAAGTTGTTGTACGGAAACCTGTTTTGTTTTTCATGATATCTTAACCATACTCGGCATTAACTATTTTCCCTGTGCTTCTTAGATACGGGCAAAGCACTATAAGCATTTTGAAAAGGTTGGGTCTGCAAGGGTATTAAATCTTCGGTGTGCCGAAGATAGCACTTCTTTCTCGTTTTAAATGGCCTATGCTCTAAATATGCCCTAAAACGCCGCTATGCGTAAATTATGGCTAAGGTCTCTAATTCAAAGCTATGATAGCGAGATTCTACTTCTGCTGTTTTACCCGAATAAAACTTGTCTTTGTAACAGTACGGCTCCATATCCGTGTGAGCTTGCATCGGTATGCAACTCATTTTCTCTGTTGGGACTAAAGATGGCTAAGACCGGAGGGTTCGCTAGCGCTTTCTTGAGCGTTTGAAATACTTCTAGCTGTTCATTGTTAAGGGGAAAAGGACCACCCGCTTTTAGTACTTCAAGCAATGGTTTTGCTATTTTCGCGAATGACAACACAAAGCGTCTAAAATATGAAAAAAACCCTAGGCACGAATGTAGTGCTTTTATATTTTGAGGAACTGGATAGCTTTTTAACGCTTCTATATGAGAGTCACTTGGTACTATGCCCTTTTGTGTCACCTTATATCCTAAAAACTCAATATCTCGTCTTAAAAATATGCATTTCTTCATATTTATCTCTAAATTATGTTCACTGATACGGGCTAACAACTTCTTTAAGATTTCTATGTGTTCCTCTACTGTCTTTGTTGCCACCATTATATCGTCCATATAAACTACGATGCTCTTATTTCTAATAAAGTCACTAAGCAGATTGGAAATAAATCTCTGAAATATGGCTGATCCATTTTTGAGCCCGAAAGGCATTCTTAAATACTCGTACTGTCCATGAGGGGTTACGAACGCAGTGTACGTGATTGATTTTTCCTCAACTCCAATCTGGTGGTAACCACTTTTAAAATCTATAACGGAAAAACACATTTGTTCTCTAAATATTCCAGACAGTCCTCAATGAGCGGCAACGGATAATTGTCCTGGATAATTCGCTTGTTCAAACCGCGATAATCAACACACATTCGGAGATCTCCTGACTTCTTTTTCACCAGAACCAAAGGGGAAGCATACGGAGATTCACTAGGTCGAATGACCTTTTTATTTAAAAGGTCCTCTATAATTTCTGCTACTTTGTCTCTCTCATAATAGGACAGGCGCCGTGGATTGCAGTAGAACGGTGTTGTGTCCGTAACTCTAATAGTCATGTTGTATTTAGGGGGCACTGTAAAGTCATATTCCCGATGCAGATAATGAGTTCTAATTAGTTCCTTACATTTGTTTGCCCAAGATTTGCCAAACTCTTCACCCACGTTAATGGTATCATTCTCTTCGATTTCAATATTGGCACAAAAGTTACTAAAATCATCTTGCTCTTAAAGGTATTGAAGACTACTATTAACTTGGCTGCCTACCTCTTCATTTAGTAGTTGATTGCTTAAGTTGCTACTAATTTGTCGATTACTTAATGTAGGATTGCCTTTTATTATTATACGATAAATGATTGAATTGCTTATCACTAATAATTTGTTGGTCACTGGTGAACAAAGATGCACAAGTCGAATAAGCGGTTTTATTCTTTATTGAATTAAGAGGTAAATGATATTCAGCATTAATACTTTTCTTATGAACTAATTTTACTTCAATGATTTCTAAAGAATCTCTTCCTAATAATACTGGTAGAGGTAATATCTTATCGTCTACAATATTAAGTGAAATAATATAGGTTTTCATAAGAAAGTTAATTCGGCATTTCAACTTTCCCCATGTTGGTATAGGCCGTCCTCCTAATCCATGGTATTGACTGACTTCAGATTTTAACTTTATATTTTTTGGTATTAATGCCTTATGAATAAAGCTTACGGGACTCCCCGTATCGAATAAACAAAAAACACTTGTGCCTCTTTCTTCACCAAACGGAACTCATAATTGTATTAATTGAACAGCTGCTAACTCGTTATTATTCATATCACCCGTGCCCTCGTTGCCTTG